GTCATAGATCTGGCGAGGGCCTTCGGTCCAGATAATGTTTTTGTGAGCGTTTTCGAGAGCGGAAGCTGGGATGATACCAAGGGGGCCCTCCGAGAGCTTGACGCTGAGCTGGACCGACTCGGCGTGCGGCGCAACATCACCTTGTCGGATACAACTCATCAGGATGAGCTATCCGCTCGCCCTCGAGAAGGCTGGATCGATACACCCCGCCAGAAGAAGGAACTACGACGCATACCTTATCTTGCTCGGCTACGAAATTTGACCTTGCAGCCACTGGAGGACCTGTCGCAACAAGGCATTTCATTCGATAAAGTGCTGTTTCTTAATGATGTGGTCTTTACGGTATGTTCAGGTTGTGTTGGTGCCAATGTTATGATATCTCAGGTCGCTAATAGCCCATCATAGGTTGATGATGTGACCACTCTACTCAATACAAATGATGGTATCTACGCTGCCGCTTGCTCACTAGACTTCTCTAAACCGCCTCTTTATTATGATACATTTGCTTTGCGCGATTCGAGCGGGGATGAGCAGGTGATGCAGAAGTGGCCATATTTCCGCTCCGCGGCTTCGCGCAATGCGCTACTTGCTTTGTCACCTGTACCTGTCAAGAGTTGCTGGAACGGAATGGGTTAGTGACTTCCTTTGTATGCCTCTTTCGACGGCTGTATTGACTGACGGACTACTGCAGTGGCTATGCCTGTGGAACCTTTCGTATCCACCCCTCCATTGCGATTTCGAGCCATATCTGATACCCTTGCGCTTTCACACCTCGAGGGTTCCGAGTGTTGCTTGATTCACGCGGATAACCCTCTTTCTCAACAGCAAGGAGTCTTTCTGAACCCCCAAGTCCGTGTCGGCTATAACCCGGCAGCTTACACAGCTGTTCATCCTACAGGGGCCTGGTTGTCGCTACAACATGTGGCGTTGGCTCTCTGGGAGAATAGACTTCGACGTTGGTTCACAACACCGTTCTTCAAAAAACTGGTTGTGCGCAGACGGATTGCTCGTTGGCAAGAAGATCATGAAAACGAGCGAGAACCCGGCGGGTTCTGCCTAATCAATGAGATGCAAGTACTTGTCTCTAATGGCTGGGCGCACGTGTGAAGCCTGAATCTAGGTGTCTGGCTCATCGTCCAGGTCAGTAAATATTGATTTGGGAATCAACACCTTGGAAGCATCCTTCACAACCGGCTACCATCTCTACCGCCTTTTGGAACTTCAGGTATAAATACTACCTGCGATGGCATGAAATAGTCATGACCCATCAGCAGCAAGGTTGGTGATAACTAGGCAAGGCGGAGGGAAGAGCCAATCCAGCTTGTCAGTAACAAGTAACGATTAAACGCCACGGGGCAGTTCCACCCCTCGATTTGCAGGGGTCTTTCTCCTAGGCCAATGATATGCTTCTCTGCGGGCCCGCGGCGCTAAAGGCATGGCTCTTATCTGTATCTGCCCGGGGGCGGTCCGCCTTCCTTTAATCCGGTGAAGGGAAAGCGCTCGAGTGACACCGAAGCTAGCCCTACAGCCTTGTGCGACTTACTTGCGCCGAGCTGCTTTGACGTGGGCGCCATCCGTTGGTCGTTTGGTTCGCCGAGTGCCAGGAGTTGGTTGACCTGTTTCGGCGAACCTACTGCATTTCTCCAAGCGCTAACCTTCTAGCGGGAACAAGGATGTGGAGGTCAATCGTCGATCGAGTCACAGTCCCACGTTACGCGCCAGTGAATTAGTAAACCAGATTGATGCAGCCTCCAGAGATACCCCGCGGGCTTGTGCGCAAGCCATTTATAGGTCTCTGCGACTCCGAGACTTGCGTAGCATCTTCACAACCCATACATACATTATGTCCTGCACTCTCTTGGCTGCGGCTCACGTTCCTGTCTCTCAATAAGGCCTACAACACAAGTTTCCAGAAATAACAATGGAACATGGCACTCGGCCGTCTTTTCAGAATGGGATCCACCTCGTCCATATTAGTTATTCATCGTCCAATCTATCGTCACAGACACATTTAGGTGGAGAAAGCCTGGACTTAGTGACAGCATATGCTGAAGCATATAGGCCAGCCACCGCGTAAGTTTGGATAGAGCCTCAAGAAATGTGGCTCTCACTGAACTACTGTGACGTCCCAAACAGCTCTAGTTTACATGATGGCCTCACGCGCTCCGACACCAGCGATTCTAGCCGTGGCTCACTGCCAGCGAATGGACGCACGAGGCATCGATGGCGCCCGTTTCTGATGAAGGCCCAGAGGATGCTGCACTCGTTCCGATATGGGCTATCGGACCGGATGGCACAAGCAAGAGATCGATTGCGTTGGCAACGAATCCAATCAGGAAGGAAAAACTCCGGGCTAGGCGACCATTTTCTGGCTCTCTTGAAGAATCTTGGCATCACATCCTTCTATAATACATGCTGTAAGTTACGTGGCATTGAGGTCACGGAGAATCCCAAGGTCTTTATGGACAGGAGCAAGACGCTTGCATCCATCCGCTGTGTCCTGCACGTTGTTCCTGTTGGCGCTGCATTAGGGCTTTTAATGTTGAACTCGGCAGGTTACTACATTGGGGGTGAACTGTCTGGCGCGTCCGGTCAAGATACGGAAAAGCTGGCTGCGCTGACATTCGCAGCTAAGCTGCATGAACTCCTCATATTGGCTTCACTTGGATCAATACTGATTACCTACATCCGCAGAGAACTTGCGTTTGGGGAAGGCCTTCCATTTGGCGCTATTTTCACCTCGTTGCAGTTTCAGGATATCAGTTTCCTCTGGTCTCTCAGCATGTGGGGGTCAGTCCATCATGATTGGCAACGACGGAGCACCAAATGGTTCATGCTCTGTCTGATGGTCATCTGTACCCTTCTGGGTCTGACTGCGGGACCATCTACAAGTAACTTGATGAAGCCCCGTCTGGGTGATTGGCCGGCGGGTGGCACGCAGTTCTGGATCAATTGCACCGAGGATGTCCTCTTTCCCCGAACAATGGCGAACTCCTCTTCACTATCGCATTGTGCCCTTGACAACAGCGACCTCGCTTGCCCGGCTGGGAATTGGCAGATCCTCAACCAGGACTATTATTCCTTCTTCCCGAGACTCGTCGACGCCGGGAGTGTTCCTCAGAACATCACCGTCTCGGGTCCAGCTTCAATACGGACCTTTGGTATGAGGTCTCGCAATATCTTTGATAGCCACGAGATGATGTGGGGGAATGCTTACACCCTTGCAACCACCCCGCTCTCTGTGGTCGCAGATAGCGTTGCGGAATTGGGTAGGCTATGGTCGTATGCTGCTGCCAACATCGATGTTGGCCGATTCAAGTTCAGAAACGATGCGCTCTTTATGGTGAACTCGCTGCAGCCAGTGGTACTTACATTTTGCGGTCAAACCTTTTACGACTTTTCCGATAATCTAACTTTATCCTTCCCCGCGTTGGGTACTGCGTCTCTCTCCGGCGGGCCGGGCACGGCGGACACAAGTCAGGCGTCCATTAAATTATACAATGGGTATTCCAACGGGGCGATTCAGGATAAAGTGACATCGCTTCTCCAGCAAAGCACTGCTCCTTCCGTTCTTTGGGTCGACGACCCTAGTCTATTACAGCCTCTCAATGCCACTTTGGCTGCGATTCTCACTCTGCCTGGCACGGATAGTAGCAGTCCGCAATACTTTACTTGCAGTGTCGACAGCAGGTTCACCAACGTCACTCTGGTGTCTACTCGAAACGCAATCAAGATCGTTGCCGGCCAGCCTGTAGACATGGACAAGAATGGGACATTTCATGCAGACTGGCCGCGGATTGCGCTGACAGCGGATTGGGCGAGGTATTTGACCCCGGCAATTCCTGGCACCAATGAGACAATCCTGTCACCTATTGCCTCAATGGCAGGCATCTTCAATAGCCCCCTTCCTTCGGCCTCATACTATTACGATATCATAGTGGAGAACATCCTCGCTACGCTGATCACCAATGGCATCGGCCGGTCTGCGTACAATCACAGTATTATCATGGATCTGAAAGGCGCCGTAGATCCAACCGACCTCTGGCGTGGGGGGAAATGGATATACGACATCATCCCCAAGGGCGGGAATATGGGCAGGGGACGGAATGCTTTCAATGTATCCGCCGCCCTGCGCAACCGATCTACTGAATTGGTCATGACAGCCTATGTGAACGGCTATGCATACAGCGCAGCCGGGATCACATCAGTGCTGGAGATGGTCGTGCTTGCTGTGTATATAGCAGTAGCCATTGCTCATGTCTGCTATTCAGTCTACAGCGGACTGTCCTCGAGCAGCTGGGGTTCCGCGCCAGAGATTGCAGTGCTTGCATGGAACTCAGCACCCACGGAGAAAATGGCCAATACGGGAGCTGGTATATCAACTGTCGACATATATAAGAACAACATTCGAGTCATGCACCGAGATAACAAACTGGAGATTGTGACTCGGGATACTGAGGAAAAACCGGAAAAGAGGACTCATATATGCCAGCAGAGAACAAACTCTGCTCGCATACGAACGAACCCCCAATTCGAGTTGAATCACACACATGGGGAAATGGAACCCGTTGAAGAGAATCAGGCTTATTCTTGATATATATACGCTGCTGGTCGGCATCATCATCATCATCATCATTTTAGCAGTATCCAATCTCCCAACCTTACTCATCCTTATATAGATAGATCGATAAATAAACCGATCTGCATGGCACCATACATACTATAACCCCCCCTTCTTCCACCCCCAACCTCACGCAAACCAATACACAACGACAAAATAAATAACCTCATCATGCGATTCCCACATACTCAAAAAGAACCAGCCACCCCCCACCCTCCCCCCTAAAAAAAAGAAAGACCACCAGCAATCCCAACCCTATTTTTTTTTTTAAAAAAAAAAAAAAAAAAAAAAAAAAAAAACCACACAAATCCCACCAAGCATATCTATCCATCACAAATACAAGCCACTCAAACCCCCCCAAAAAAGTGAGGGAAAAAATTGTCCCGAGGGAGGTTCGAACTCCCGGCCTTGGGATAGCATGGAAGTTTTGAATCTTGCTTCCACGTCATACTGTAGTATGAGACCCACGTGATAACCAACTACACCATCGAGACGACTTGTTGAGATTCGTCAAGTAAATGTTAAATTATAAGGAGGGACGTAAGGAGATTTTGGCTAGTGTTATGTTAAGGTGCGGGTGGGGAGAGGGAGGAGTGGATATTCTGGGTTTATTATTGCGGTACTACTAGGTTTGGTTTCATTTATTGGGGGGGAGGATTTTCTGTAGGAATGAATGGGTATGGGTTAAATGTGTAAGGTAGTTCTTGGGTAAGTTATTATAGTTGCTGTTGAGTGGTAAATGGGGCAACTAGTAGTAGTAGTAGTAGTAGTAGTAGTAGTAGTAGTAGCAGAGGTTCAATGTATTTTGGGTTAGGTTTATTTTATTGGGTTCTTGTGGGTGGTTTTATATTATAGTATCAAGGAGGGTATCAAATTTTATTGTATAATCTCTAGGTCAAGTCGTGGGAAACGCGGATTGGAACACCTCATTGTCTATACTATGTACATATTTTGCAATCAAGCGGGATCTGGTAATCTACTTTGCTCATCAACGCCCACTTCGACTACGTCGCATGCTCTCCTTGCATTCGTTGCAATACCATTTGACTGTTCATGTTAGCACGTGAATTTCTATTGTTAACCACACTGAAAGGAACTTACCATTCTTTCCCGGCGGTTTCGTCAAACCGACGCATGACAAATGGAACCACTCGCGAGGACAAGCGTCATTGTCGCATGCCACCATCTCACCGAAACTGATCTCGTTGCAGTAGCAGTATCTGGGCTCGCCGTCCTCATCTTCATCGTCACCTTCGTGGAGGGACTCTTCCTCTTCCGACACCGCTCGCGGTTGCACCACCGGGATGCTGTTATTCTTCTTATGAGACCGTTTGGCTGGCGCGGGATCCGTGCTGCGGGTCGGTCGCACGCGCTGAGCCGGCTCGGAGAAAGTGGCCAGCGTGGGTGTCGCTGTCTTTGACGATCGGCCCTTTGGTGGCGGGTTTGACACAGGAGGTACCGGTGTTTCTCCTGGCTCAATGGATTGTGCGGGTTTTCCATCTGTGTCTTCACGCTTGGTACTGATAGGTGGTGGGACTTTCGATACATCCACCGTCGCCTCTTCCAGTTCCCGTTGTATATCAGGATTAGATGTAGGTGTAGCTTCAGATTTGGATGCTGTCTCCTTGATTGTAGCCTTGGCTTCCGTCGTTTTGTCTGCACAGATTCCAGTTAGAATTGCCTTTGATGCCACTAGGGGAAACATACTATTATTGGCCACACGGTTCGATGCTGAGGACGACGGTCGCTGACGGCCATTGTTTCCCTGCCCCGAGTTCTGCTGGGTACGAGAGGACTGCGGCCGCACCGCACCAGGTCCGGGGCTGGCGGCACTCCGTGGGATGGCAGCTACAGTGACAACAGGTGATGGGGCCAGGACGGGCGAATCAACCGCAGAAACATTGGTGTTGTTTCTATTGATCATGTCAGTCAATATCACAGGAACAAAAGACCGACGTACCTCTTTCGCGCAGCTGCATTTGTATTCGGTGCCCGCGACCTCTTCTTCGTAGCATCCGCCGCATCCTTCGATGCAGCCTGTCTCGAAGTACTGGCATTGCTAGCAGTGCGCTCCATCGCAGCACTAGTCTCCACGGCGGGCGGGCGCTCGACCTTGCGGCGTTTAGCCTGCCCTGTCCCAGTGTTTCCTTGGCCATGCGCGCCCGACTGATCGCCAGCACCCGCACCTCCACGAGCTTTGCTAGATTGTCCCTTCCGAGCACGCACATCGTCCAGATCCGAATCAGCATGCGCACGACGCTGTCTGCGTGCCATGACAGCCTCGCGCCTGGCTTCGCTCCGAGAAGCAGCCTCAACCTCATGAATGGCATGAACCAACTCCTTACTTGCTGCGGCCTCCCGGCGAGGACGCTCATTAGTAGTCGTTTTGGCGACATTCCTATTCGAATACGCCCAATGAGTGAGACTTCCGAGACGAGCCTCGTCACTGATCTCCCCTGCGATGAATGGGAAAATAGTGTCAAGTCGTGTAAGCTGTCGGTCCAATTCGTCATTCGCATTCGAGATCACATGGTTTTTTTCGTCCGCAGTCATCATCAGATCCGAGAGGGTATGGCGCACACGATCGAACAAGGCACGGCGGGTTTTGCTTTCCTGGGATTCGGGGGTCTGTGAGAGTCCCTGATCGCAATCGCTTGTTAGCATACTATCGTAGATAGCTATCCCCGCAGAGCACTCAATGACCCACCGAAGGCAAGAGATCTTCCCGCACAGTCCCAGCGATAATGGGTGCCGGGTTAGAGGGGTAGGGCACAGGCTGCGATTCTGAAGACGCCTTGAGCAATTGAAGCAGGTTATCCTCAAGGGCCCAGGCCTTTGCATCGACCTCCTTCAGTAGCGAATTGTGACGGCGAAATTCCCGAGGGAGAGCCGTGATGGCGTCCGTGAAATGAGTGAGGGCGGGATAGAAGCCATGAGCGACAGGGGTTGCGGAGGGGGTATCTGTCATGGAAGAATGGCCGTAAGCAAAGGAGGAGCGCCCAAGCGTCTTTGACGTGCGTGATGGGTTCGTTCTCGTCTGTCGCGTTGACTGACGAGCGCTCTGACTCTGAGAGTTGATGGCCGACGAAGGAACGGCAGACATGATGAAAAGAAGGATAGTTGGGTCGGACAGAAGCCCGACTCAATCAGGGAATAAGAGGCGCTCGGAGATATTGGATGATCGATGGCTCAACAGCGGGAACATGGACAAGACAGGAAAAATCGGGGGGGGGAGAGCAGAGTTGGAGCGATGAAGGCTGCAGTGCGGAGAAGACCCGGCGGCCATCAGGTGATTGGTGCCTGCAGATCCAGGCAGGACATCTGGCTGACTCAGTCCGCACTGATAAGCATTAATGACATCACCTATCATGAACATAATGTACTCAAACAACTCTGTCTACCAACTGGCCTACAGCGGTTGGTCCGCAAAAAAAAAAAACAATTGGGGCAAGCCGGGCTTGAACCGGCCACCTCCAGATCTTCAGTCTGACGCGCTCCCAGATGCGCCATTGCCCCGAAATTGTTGTTGATACTCAGAGCTCCGACACTATGAGGCATGACATCCTCTGCGCATCGTAGCATGGTCTCCAAACCGCCCATAGTCAACAGTCTGAATCATCGCGGGCTACCCAACATCTAGTTTAAACCAAAGAAACTGAAATTATATCAAGGTTCTTAATTTACACGCGTGCACGAATACATGCGAGGTATAGGCAGGCCAGATCACGAACATATGCTAGAACGACCCAGACCCTGACACAAGCATGACGGTATAATCATCGTACACTATGCTGTAGACAAAGGAAAATCATACAAAGAAGACCAGAACGAGCCGACGCTAGCTCCCCAAACCAAAGCACCTACAAAGCCACTTACTCGCCCTTGAGGCGCTCCTGGTGGACAGTAAAAGCATCCTGGAGGAACTCCTGCTCCTCCTTCAGATGGACGGACTTGAGACCGGTGGCGACGGAGGCACTGGGGGCGCGACCGGCGTAGAGAACGTGACGGCGGTTGTGGTGCTCGGTCTCGTTCAGCAGGGTCTCAATACGAGGCTGGGTGTAGCTCCAGGCACCAGCGTTGAGAGGCTCCTCCTGGGCCCAGACAATGTTGCGGGCGTTGGGGTAGCTGTCCAGGTTCTCCTTCAGCTGAGCCCAAGGGAAGGGGTGCAGCTGCTCAACACGAGTGATGGCAGTGTTGCGGATACCGTGGGCCTCACGGTGCTTGAGGAGAGCAGCGTAGACCTGGCCAGAGCACAGGATGACACGCTCAATCTTCTCAGGCTCATCGATCTCCTTGCCGTGGGCATCATCGGGAATGATCCACTGGAAGTGAGACTCGCCAGTGAAGTTCTCAATGTCCGAACGAGCAATGGGGTGACGGAGGAGAGACTTGGAGAAGAAGATCACGAGGGCTGAGAAAGAGTTAGTTTGAATTCCACATGAGAACATTCAAGGTACATACGCTTGCGGAACTGGCGGTGGATCTGGCGACGCAGAATGTGGAACAGGTTGGCAGGGCTGGTCATGCAGGCAATCTGCATGTTGCAGTCCTGGTGCTGGCGGTCGAGCTTGTCAGCGGCGGGGAAGACACGGGGCTCCTCGTTGCAAAGCTGCAACCAACGCTCCATTCTGCCGGAAGAGTGCTCAGGACCCTGGCCATCGTAACCGTGGGGAAGAGAAACGACAAGACCAGAGCGCTGGAGCCACTTGGATTCTCCAGCAGCGATGAACTGATCGATGATGCACTGTGCGTTGTTGGCAAAGTCACCGAACTGGGCCTCCCACATGACAAGGGCGTTGGGGGAGGTCAGAGAGTAACCGTATTCGAAACCAAGACTGCGAGAGATGTTAGCTTAGCATAAAAAGAGATTGAAAGCCGAGACGTACGCTCCGAATTCACTGAGGGAGGAGTTGGAGATGACGAAGCTTCCCTGGTCCTCAGCGATGTGCTGCAGAGGAGTGTAGGTACCCTCGTTCTCCTGGTCGTGCAGAACGGCGTGACGCTGGGAGAAAGTACCACGCTCGACGTCCTGACCGGAGATACGGACATGGTAACCCTCGGACACGAGGGTACCGAAGGCAAGAGCCTCGGCGGTGGCCCAGTCAATGTTCTTGCCCTCATCCACAGACTTCTTGCGGTTGGTCAAAATACGCTTGAGGTTGCGGTGGAGGGTGAAGCCATCCAAGTTACCGCTGATCTTGTCACCAACGTGCTGGAGCAGAGGACCATCAACACCGGTGGGGAGGTGAGGCAGAACCTCAGTGGCAAGCTCCTTGGGGGTCTTAAAGCCGTTCCAGGCGGAGGTGAGCCACTCCTTGCTAGTAGGCTGGTAGTCCTTGCTGCGGTCGAAGCTGTCATTCAGCATCCCCCAGACCCACTTCTTGTGCTCGTCGATGTCCTCCTTGGTGAAGGTACCCTCCTCGATCAGCTTGGCAACGTACTTGTCAAGCTGGCTCTTCTGCTGAGCGATGCGCTTGTACATCAGAGGCTGAGT